CATGAGCTTCTTTCTCAACAGCATTTTCCATGTTTCCTTCTATTATTCATTCATTGGTTTGAGTAATACATTCATACTGTAATAGAGGTGAAAGGCGAGTTTAATTATGTAATCTTGACAATGGCAATAGGATTAAGAAGTAATCCTCACTAATAAAGTGGTGTGGGTTAGAAATGAAGTGGAAATTGTCAGGGGTCTTCTACAGGACCTGGGCTGCCCCAGCTTCTGCATCTGTCTGCTTGCCCTGTAATTGAATGTCTGCGAGTGATTGAAAAAATGTTATTTCTCCTCTGGATTACATGCTAATGTACAGGGGGCAAAGGGAGACAGCAAAAGAACACATAGCTGCTTATTTCATCCATTTGTGTGGGTGAGCTTTGGGAAATCATGGCAGTTCCGCAGCTATCTCATGCCCATCTGCAGACACAATGTATTTGTACATTGGGAATAGAGGGCAAAGCTGCTCTGATCTCAGCAGAGCATCTCTTCTTTTGTCCTAGTGGCACACATTGAGATTGATGCGAGATTAAGGACCATCACCCTCCTAACAATCGATGGAAATGACAATTCATCTGAATTTTTTGTCAGTTATTCTCACGTTGATTACCTGAACGTGTGTACCTCATTTATAGATGCTTTATTAAAACAAAATTGTCTATGTCACTTTAATATCTTCCACTGTTTTACAAAAGTCAGATAATACTGCAGCCATGTAACTTCATTTCCTTGCCTCTTAATCAGCTGGATGACAAACCTAACCTGTTTTCTTTCTGTATGTGTTAGTTTATATAATGCTGAACCTACTGTTTTCAGTAGTAGTCTGATTTGTCGCTGTGATAAGCCCTGTGGAGAAGTGATTATTCCAATAAAAATTCATTCAGTTGGAAACCAACCCTCCAGCTGTTTACTCCCACAGTCCCCAAGCTACACTAACACTGTATGGAGTGCTTGGACAATATTTAATGTGGAATCAAAAGCATCTTCAAAACATTTTACTTTGGGCTCTATAATATTGTGCAACCTTAACAGTAGATATCCAGAATTCATGAGGGAGCACTTTGCAGTTAGACAACTTTGAGCCTTGACTGCTTGGTTCATCTTTGTGAAATGCTATCAAAACTTCCCAGCAGCTAAAGAGCACATCAAAGAGTAAGATTTCAAGTGTACATATGTGCACTCTCTATGTTTCATGTAACAGAACATGTGCAACTCTTGGACTTTCTTGGACAGAAAACGCATCTGAGTAAAAGCTGAAGGCTGCCATGCTAAAGCCAGCTCTGTAATGTATGCGGCAGTTTGCAATTGCAGCTGCTTCAGTGTTCGGCAGCACAGAGACACTGCAAATCTGTTACATATGTTCTTTTCTGGGACAAAAAGGGGTTTGCTTTTTAAGGAAGAGCGGTGATCTTTGCTTTATTTTAATGTCCTTGGCCTGAAAAACAAATAATTTGTACTCGCATTCTTTTCAGTTTGAACACTGTTGGTGTTTTCCTGCTTTGGCAGGTCCAGTGTCCCTCAGCACACCAGCTCAGCTTGTGGCACCGTCCGTGGTAGTGAAAGGCACCCTCTCCATCACTGTTTCTGAGCTCTACTTTGAGGTGGATGAAGAAGATCCTAGTTTTAAGAAAATCGACCCAAAGGTAAGAGATCATTGACCCTGAGGTCTGAGAGATGATGACAAATTACCCAAGACCTTTAATTCTTCACTTGACTTCCTTTACCCCTATTGGGCGACAGTGTTTCTGCTTTAATAACTTTGCCACTGACCATATATGTTGCTGAACTTCACATAGATGACACCTCCTTTCCTGCTCCTTTTTCTCCCTCTCCCATAATTCGACCCTACTTGAATGTTAATTAGATTGCTGCAAATAAAGCTCTAGGGAGATATGTCTGAAATAAAGACATCTTGAATCACAGGACTGTGTGAATATGGGGAAGTTCAGCGAGGCTTTTAGCCCAAATACTTTGTTTTACTTTCCTGATTTTAGCAAATGTCAGTGTAAAACAGCACTGAACTTCCCACACTACTAAGTTTGCAGTGCTCCTGTCATATTACTCTATAACACATTTTACAGGGCCTGTTATTATTTATTGTGCCTAAGCATAAAACATAATTGCTGTTCTAAAAGATGTTTCTGAGCTGACTTGGTAATTTCCACAAACTTTATTTGCTCTGAGTTGCTTGATTACTTGTGTTTTGGTTAAAACTAGTAACCTTTAATAAAATGACAATTTCAAAGGGAGCATATAGTGCAATTTGCTTAATAATGTTGCACTTGAATATTTTCTGCAGTGTTACAGCAACATTTCAAAAGTAGGACACAACTGGTATATAGTCTCACAAGCATACTCATGGCTCTTGTTTTTCTGAATACCTACCTAATGTTAAACTGGGTAATAATTTCTTTGGGAAGAGTACTGCTTGAAGAAGTAGTGGTTTTCTGCTTGTCTGTAGAGAGAATACCTTGTGTGTTAAGCACCGGTTCAGTTCTTTGTTCCTATTGAGTAAATTGGTCTTGTCTGTATTAAAAATGGCATCGGTGGATCTGAAAGCTGGAATTATCAAATACTGTCAGGGAAAAAATTTATTTTGAAAAGCAGTGCCCTCAAATTGTTAGAGCTAGATTTTAGTATAAGCAATTAACTAGAATTGTGATTTTATGTGCTATCATAAATGAGATTTAACTTTTCTTTTGATCCTGAATGATTTTTGAAATATATTAGAAATTATTTTAAGTATGAGATAGTGGTTAAAATTTTTATATGCTTACTCCTTCTATTATGTTTCACTAATCCCTCCACATATAACTAAAAAACACCATTTAATGATGAAAAGAATATAAATTTGAAATTAAAGCTAGTTTGATATATTCCTGTATTGCATTTTCCATTTAAAATGTTCTGCTTTGTATTGTATTAGCATAAGAAAAGTCTTACAGATCTGCATTATTCTGCATTTTTGGTTTTCATGTTCAGCACGTAGGGTCTTTGAGTACAGTTGTTAATTCTTACCATTCTTGTTACTTGTTTTGTGGGAACACTGACATATATAGTTAACCTCCTTTTCTCCTGCTTCCCAGTATTTGGTAGAGGTTGTTTTCTTAACTGTGAGCAGGCATTATGGTTTACTCTTTATTTAAGAGATTTTCTTAGAGTTCTTATAACAGGAGAGGTTGGTTACATGAAATACTGGCTGCACCTCTTACATTCTGCTTGCGATGTTACTTTAACTGGAGATCTTAAAATTAAAAAAACTACTTTTTATAATGTCTCAGGGGTGGGGGGAAGCTAAAAATCAGATCTGAATAATTTTATTTTAAAGACTAAGTAATCTTAAAACAGCATCTTTTCAAGCATTAACGCCTCCCTGCCCCACCCTGTGCCGAAGTCAATGTACCTTGATAGCGATGACTAGCTGCTGTAGAAAATGTCCCTTGGAAAAAAAAAACCTCATCAACTAATCCGCTGTAAACTCAGCAGGCCTGCTTAATTAATGAGGCTTCATCTGTTAGATAAATTTAAGATCCCTGTATATTTGTCTAAACTACTGAAAAGAAAATATTGTGACAAGTTCCTGAAGTAAAACCTGCCTTAGGTAGCGATAGCATCGACAGCGATATGATCAGAGTTTATACGCGGCTCCGGGCTGTTTTGGGAAGGAAAGGGTAGCCCCGCGGGCTGAGCCCGTTCTGCCGGCTGATCCGGGATCCAGCGCTGTGGGAAGCGCTCAGATGGCTCCACAAAAGACTTGTGGAGCTCAGCCGAGAGTGGAGGGGCTGCGGACGGCGCGGCGGGGCCGGGGCCGGGCTGTGCCCGCTCCGCCGGGCAGGGTGCGCCGCGCACCCCGTTCCATCGCCCCGGCGGCTGCCGCCATCGAGGATTTCGTTTTTAAACTTAAAGGCAAAAGCAGCTCAAGTTATAATGGTTATTTCTTTCCGTCTCCGTCCAAAAAGAAACGAAAATAGTCTTTTGGGGCAAGAACTTGAGTTCTTTTTTTACCTCCCCCCTGCCTACGAAAGGATACGAAAAGTTGTTCGAAATGCTCCGAGCTGGCGTTGCAATCTTTCGGGCAGCTTCAGCGGGTAACGCTAACGTTTTTAAATCTTACGAATGCGTTCCCGATAAAAATCCTGCCAGTATTTCTCAGTCGTCCCGAGCAAGCTTAAAGCGGAAATAGCTACGGGGAATCAGGCAGAGCTTCGCTTTGGGAGAGGGGGAAGGAGATCGGCAGAGAGCGCCCGGGTGCTGGTGTAGGATCGGGTGGTTTCCTGACGGGGTCCTGCTTATCTCTCCGTCTGACTAATCTGCAGTGCGATTTTATGCTGTACTTAAAAATCTGGGCAAAAACAAATGTTTGTTTAAAAAAAATATCGACCGGTTGCTCTAAATCGCATTAATTATTCAGGGTAGATCTATACTTCCTTCGTGTCAAAGTCAAATGGATAGCGTGTTCGCTCTGGGAAGCGAAAGCAAACAGCGATGGGTTTTTAAAACAAAATGCAGCGCTCGAGATTTACTGGAGAAAATAAAAGCAAGGGATACCATAAGGAAAAAAAAATAAAAGGAAAAAAACGACTGTAGGGTAGGAAAAGGCATGCTGTAATTCTGACTAAACTGTAGCGAGCTGCTGTGCGATGCTCCATATATTCCAAGATTTAGAACAGAACCTTAGAGTAATAGAAATATAGCAGATGTTGTCTCATGCTGAACTACAGAATATATAAGATTTTTTTTCTTGGATGCACTTTTTCTTTTTAATGGAAACTAGAAGGAGGTTTAGAAAACATCAGCCAATATGCTGAGCTAAGGTTTGGACTAGGTGTTGCGTTTAGCCTATCTTTACATCTCGTGGTTTAGATTATTTAAAAAAAAAATCCTTCTGAGGTTCAGAAAGAATCTACTTGCCTGAATTTAAGAACCATTCACAAAAAGTCAACGTAAAGTTAAAGTAATATTTTTATTACTATTTGCAACAAGTCAGTTGTGGGGCACATAATCTGACCTTGGCACCGAAATACATTTAACATCAGTAAAACTTTTTTAAAGGGAGATTTGTACATATAGTTAAATAATTTTTTCACTTGGTGACAACATTCAGGCAAACAAGAGAGCATAAGAAAAGGACTATACATGGATTGGAAAATGTACCTTTCGGGTTTCGTTTTGAAGTTGCAAAAGTCCGATCGCTTCTTTTTGTGATCTTTTAAAAATTCACATTGGAGGACAGGAGGAGAGAGGCTCTTCCCTTCTTCCGTGCAAGGCGGTGAGAGTTTATGCCGGGAAAACCGTCGGCAAGTTTTTAAAGGCCGAACTGCAGGTGGGTGGGGGGGTGGCGGGGACGCGTGTCTTTCGCCGCCTCTTTCCGTCGTCGTTCGCGTTAAATAAAAAGTTTTTTAGGCGCTGTTGTTGTTTACGGAGGGCGAGTTTTTGTGCGCGGGGGTGTTAACCCTATAGCTTGTCGAGGCTTTTGGGATTGGTGAGGATTTCTCTGGCTAGCCTCCAGGTCTGTTTGGCAGCGCTTTCCAGGGCCGAGTGGGGTTTGCCCTGAAAGAGGTCTAGGTTGGGCAGGAAGTAGTGGGGGCAGCGCCGGCACTGCAGGCAGGAGATGAGCTGCAGGAGGATGCCGTTCAGCCGGTCGCCCAGGCACGCCTCGTCCCAGTCGGTCTCCCGCGGGTGCTTCTCGCACTCGTACAGCAGCAGCGTCTTCATGTGGTAGTTGTTGAGGGGCTGCCCGGGCAGCTCCAGGTGCCGGTCGCGGAGCGTCTTCAGCACCGACAGGCACTTGTTCCGGCAGCCGCCCATCAGCAGCCGGTTCTCGGCCTCGCCGAACTGCAGCACCCACGCGTCGCTCTCGGCCGAGCTCTGCTTGCCCGTCAGCGAGTAGCACTCCTTGGAGAGCAGGTTGAAGCCCTCCGCCTTCACCTCCGCCACCCGGTTGGGGCCGGGCCAGGGGATGTGGGGCATGGGCCACTGCGCCGCGCTGCGCGGCCAGATCCCGGTGCACTTGAAGGCGGGCGTGATCTGCACCACGTACCGCTCCCGGATGCGGAGCTTCACCTCGCTCGTGTCCGCGATCATCTTCACCACGTCTCGGTAGCTGCACTTGTCCACGGCCTGGGCCACCAGCGTCTGGAATCGGGAGCGGATCTTGCGGGCGGACAGGTAGCCCGAGGCGGTGATGAACTCCACCCAGAGGGACATGCTGCGCTTGCGGCCGTCGCTCAGCTTGAGCACGGCGCAGCCCGGCAGGGAGCCGTCGTCCACGAAGTTGAAGACGCCCATCTGGTTGAGGTAGAGCACCACCTCGAACTCGGTGGGCGAGATCACCTCCAGCCCCTCGTAGCGGGCGTCGATTTCGCTTAGGGAGCTGATGAAGCGCGGTTCCTGCACCTCCACCTCCTTCAGCACGTCCGACACGACCTTGCACACCTCCCGGATGGTCTTGGCGATGGCCGCCTTGCGCGCCTGGCAGCGCTCCGTGTAGTATTTGTTGAGCTGGTAGACCAGCTTGGCCTGCGCGGCGATCATGTTGGGGCACAGGTCCGGGCTGTACACCGGGCTCTCGCAGTACGTTGAGGGATCCAATGCTTTAGCGGTGGCTGCAGCTTTGCGGAGGGCACCAGCCAAATCGCAGACCCCCACCGCCTCCGGGAAGAAGGCGGCAGCGGCGCGCCAGTGAGAGAAATTAAAGAAATCGGGGAGGGCGGCGAAGCACAAAGGAGCGAAGCCCAGCGCTGCCCCGGCGACGAGGAGGAGCGGGACGGTGCGGGCTGGGCGGCGGCGGCGGTGCTGGTGATGCTGGAGCCGGTGCCGGAGCGGCGGGCAGTCCCCGCGGGCTCCCGGAGCGCAAAGTTTTGGATGGCGATGGGGGCAGGGAAGTCTGGGCTGCCTCTGCGCTCAGGCGCCCACCCCCCCGCGCAGCGACAAAAATGCCGTTTCAATAGTTCATGGAAAAAAAACCCCAAAACAGCAAACAAACTTTCCCAGGACTCGCAGAAGGTCCCCGCAGAAAAGCCGGTCGGCGGCGAAGTTTAAAACCGCACACGGTACGAGAGGAGGAGAAGAATGCGAGCAATGCCCTCAGCGGAAGAGTGAACTCTGTGTCTGTCTGTCTGTCTGCCTCTCTCTCTCTCTCTTTCAGTCCGTGGCACAGAGATGTGCATGCGTTTGGCTGCCGCTCTCAGACTGTCAGGGGGTGTTGTTGATTTCCCTTTTCCTGCTGGAGGCGTTGGCTGAACCCGGCTCTGTGGCTGTCTCTATCTTTACGCGCAGACGGGTGCACTTGGTCTGTGATCTCTCATTCCCGTCCTGCAGGTCTACATAGATTGTTGTGAGAGAGACTGTATGGAGAGGAGTTGTTGGTTTTTTTTTTTTTTGTTTGTTTGTTTTCTTTGCACAGACTGTGTATTATCCTGAGCGGGAAGAGGGCGTAGCTGCCGTGCCCGGGATGGCTTCTCCTCCCCCTCCCCACCCCTGGAAGTGCGCGCCGAGGCTCCCGGTGTCCGCGCCTCTCGCTCCGCTCCTGCAGCGCCGTGTGCCCTCGTCCCTCTCGCGGCGCTGCCGCCGGGCCCTGTAGTTTATGAATGGGGCCGCGCGCGGGCGCGGGGCGGGGCCGCGCCGCCAATCGCCGCCGAGCTGTCAGCGCCGCGGCCAATCGCGGCACCCGGCGCGCGCACACGCGCCTGCGCTCCCGCCCCCGGCCCCGCGTCCGCTGCGCGGCGGGGCTCGGAGCCGGGATGGGCAGCGGGGCAGCCGCGAGGGAGGTTCGGAGCGTCCCGCCACCCGGCGCGGTGTGTGAGGGGGGGGAACCCCACAAAATCACTGTAACTTCGCCGTGGCAGCCGGTGAAGGGCGACGTGAGCTCGCTGCTCCCTCCCGCTCGCTGCGAGGGGACCCGGCGGCAGTGCCGGTGTGTGCGGAGAAAGGGGAGAGGCGGACCGGAGCTTCCCCGCAGGCATAAATCTTATTTCGCTTAATGCTGGGCTGCAGCAGTGAAAGTGAGACCGTCACCGGAGTAGCGTGGCACACACTTTGTTTTACTGCTCCCAGTCACCTTAATTTAGATAAATTTTGTGCCATAAAGTTATTCTCATCCTCCTAAAGCGCAGGATTGAGTTATTAGAAAGGAAACGATATTTTATGCAAGTTTGTATTAAGAGTATGGAATAGTTCGGACATAAAGCCGTAGCTCCGTGGTGTCGGGTCGGAGGGATCCCCGGGGCGGTACCTGCTGCAGAGCAGACAGATCCGCTTCTCCTGCGGGAACTTGGGATGGAAGGGAGAGCAATTTCCGCACCTCCAGTCTCGTAGCAAGAGAGCAAGGCTGCGTAGGTGCTTTGCCCTCCCCTGGGCCGGGCAGTCCCGCGGTGCGGGGCGGCTCCGGCCGCCCGGGAGCCCCGCCGGGAGCGGGAGCGGGGCCGTGCGGGGACGCCGTGCTCTCCTCCGTGCAGAGCCTGCCGGTAACCCGCTCGCAGCGCTTGGGCTCGGTTCCTTGGGCTCTCCTCCTTTCACTGCAGCTGGCTGATTTTAATAAAGAAAATACCGCCGTCTGTTTTTTGTGTGCGTTTAAATTAGAAACATGTCTGGTGCCGACCGTACCGCTGGAAGTAGTAAGTACGGACGTGCCCGGCGCCGGTGCGGCTCCGTCCTCCGCGATGAGAGGATCGGCTCCCTGCTTCCCTGTCTGCCGCCGGGGCACACTGCGCCCGGGGATGTGGGGGCCGGCCCGGCGGCCCGCGGTGCCCGGTGCTGGCGGCGGTGTCAGGTGTCCCCGCCGGGCCCGGCCCCGCCGGGAGGGAGACGAGCCCTAGGGAAGGCTCGAGGCGAGCAGCTTCCGAGGGGTGGGGGAGAGAGGGCAGGCTGCCACGAGAGCGGAGTCCATGGCTCGCCAGGGCGCTGGTGCCGCTGCTCGCACGGTCCCTGGGTGTCCCGGGGATGCGCAGGCTGGAGCGGGGCTCTCCGTCCCGGGGCGCGGGTAAGTGCCGGCGGAGCTGCCCCCTCGCCGCGGCCGCACCCGCCCGGGGCGCTCGGAGGCTCCGTAGGGGCGGGCGGGCATCGCTGCGCTTCGCTTGCGCGGCTCGGCTGGCCCGGCGGAGCAGCCAAGGTCCCACGCCTCGCCTCCCGCTGCCCTCCGGCAAAGGGAAGTTAGTTTGGGCTGGGGGTCCCTTTCACACGCCGCCGTCGGAGCTCCCGAGGCGGCACGGGGCACACTCGCTGCCGGGCTGACACCGCTCTCCGCTCCGGCGAGGGCTCTGCACACCCGCCCTCCGAGCAGAGGTGGGCAGGAGGGCTCCGCGGGATCTCGCTTCCCGCAGAGAGTGCCGAGCCTAGGTGTTACCGTGTCCTGGGCGCGGAGGAGATTGCCGGAACCTTCAGGCGGCACAGGCAAAGGCGGGGGCACACGCGTTCCCTATTTTTTTAGGGTAAAAGCAGGAGGAGGGGGCGATTCCCTTCCCACCCCTCTGAAAAGGTGCCTAATGATGTAGCGTTACCAGTGTTCAGATTTAAAACAATTCATTGCCAATTTTCCTGCCTGAGGTTGAAGCCCTAGTAAATAATAAATCAGCTAAACAAAAGCTGACTTTAATTTATTGCCCCAAAGCTAATTAGAAACATCATTTGAGCAATAAACTTAAACACTTCCAGCAAATAATGCACGTGAAACCCTTCTCTCCCGTGTCTGGGTGTTTGTGGCCGCACTGCATTAAGACCAGCTTCATCTGTGGCGGAATTTGCTCTCTCAGGGATGAATAATTGAAGGGGGAACAGGATCCGAGGAGGCTATAATTGAAGAGCCCTTGTCACCTCTGCTTTTATGTATGTTAGTGTAGAAGTCCATCAGCAGCTCCTTGATGGTGTATAAAACGAAGTGGCATCCCCTCCAGCAGCAGGAGATACTGTATTCCATTAAAAAAGACCGTGTGCGTGTGTGTGCTGCAGAGAGGGAAACTCTCAGGGCTAAAAGCCACTTGAAGTCTTCAGACCGATTGATCTGTATTCTCTCGTTATAATCCGTCTCATCATACTTGAGTTAATGAGGCAGGGGCGGGGGTGATCTGATGGTCCTTGACAAATTCATTAGGGAGGCTGCGGGACATTTTATTTGACTGTTAAACATCGTGTTTGTTTGGTTTAAGCAGTGCCAACATCAGCATGCCGCTGCCTGGAGCTATAGTGTTTTGTTAGCGAGGGCTTCTGTAAAAAGATACTGGGAAGGGGACGCGGTGTGCAGTGTTTGCTCTTGCCTTGGCTCCTCCTGCCCCCTCCCGCTCGTATGGCAGGGAGCTCCGGTGGGTGTAAATCCAGCCGTGCAGGCAAGGGATGTGTCACGGTATTTTCTTCACACTCAGGATGGCAAAAAAGAAGCAGCGAAGGGCTGCCATTAAGACTTTTTTTTTTTTTTTCCTTCAAGAGAACACTATGTATTTATGTTAACCGCTAAAACAACAAAAGAAGAAAGCTGGAAAACAGCTCAGACTTCTAGCAATAAGCATGCAAGTTTCTTGCTGTGTTATGATATAGCATACGTTCATTTGATTGCCTAACCAGCTTATCAACGTTAAATATTTCAGAGTATTTTAATTATGAATGGTGTATTTTAAAGTTCCTATAACATACTACTGATATAAGGTATAATTTTTAAGGTAAATCGAATTTTAATCAAAGTGACTTAGGGCTCTTGAAAGATTTCTGCCAAGCCTGTCCTTTTTCTCTCCCTTGCTGAGATGCAGAGGGAAAAGTGAATTCAGGAGCAGGTGCTCCCAAAAGGGCTGAGAAGTATTTTTAAGAATAGCATATGAGATATGTATGTGTTTGTATATGCTTTGTTCATGGCAGCTTTGCTGATGAGACCCAGCTAGCATTCCATTATTTTATAGTAGTTGGTCTCCTCTCTGTCCTTTCATTTAATGGAAACAGTTGTGCAGAAAACGGAATAATTAATCTGCTTCTGGAACCTAGCATTGTGTTATTTTTTTCCTGGAGATCAGTCTTCCAACATTCTCAGCTTTAAGTGCTTTGTAGGACTCTGCTTCCATTTATAGAAGAACTGTATGGGAAAAGAGCTAGTGCCCTTTGCCTGTCATTTTCTTACATTCCTGCACTGCTGATGAAGCTTGAACTGCTGCAGGGAATGTATGGATTTGAAAAGAAATGATTCAGTAATGCACGTTATGTTTCTCCACAGCAGAACTGGGCTAATAGTTACAGCCAACACTGCACTGGGTTTGAGGGATAAAATTCCTTTTGCACTTGATGGTGTACTGTGTGTTCCTCTTTTTGGGAGTTGTGCTTGGTTTTAGTATCTGCTGATCTGTTCTAAGGTCTGTGTGTATGAAGTTAGTTGATGGCACACACCGGAGGAGAAAGGATGATTTAAATTTTACAAATATCATTAATGTATCTCATCAGTCTAGTGTTGTATAAATCTTGTACCTTTTTTACCCTGTGAAGATTGAGTGGTATGGCAGTTAAAGAATGTGTACATGTTTCTGAGTCTCCCCTGGCTTTTGTTTCTTCAGCAGGAAAGGGGTTGGTTTCAGCTACTCCTTTAAGTAGCTTATTTCTGCTTTCCTGTTTGGTCTTAAAATGTGAGTATGTTCGTAATCTGGTGTTTAACCATAAGCAATCTGCTGCTGAGGGACTTTCTCTAATGCTTTGAACTTTGTATTAAAGGTGGCATCTTCTCTTTTCTCATGGTGACTAATGGTGACTTCTTTTAGCTGGAAACTGGTTTGAATGCTA